TGAAATTGAGAGTCCAGACAAAATATCGAACTGTCAGCCTTGGTTTGCGGCAGGGAGTAATGATGCTGTACAGACGTCTTAATGTGAAGATGAATTAACGATCAATAAAAAAGATCCTTCAATTAAAGAGAATGACCTCTATCTCCCATAAACGCACACGGCAACCGATTGCCTACGTAAAGCGGAAAAGAAAAATTTTTGGGCTGTAACAAACGATTATTGGTTTAAAATTTGTGCAGGACGAAATTCGGTTGAACTTTCGGTTGAAGGTTCTTTTAAATATATACAATTATCACGATTCAGCAATTATTTCAGCTACTGCTGGTTTTGTACCCTGTGACTTTCTGCACGATGTTGTTGGGGGGTAGTTCCTCTAGCTCCTCACAGGGGACCCATTGGTCAGAAGCTGAGTTGTCTGGGTTATCAATTATTAACTTCAGAAGCATTTTTAGCGATTTTTTGGTTTGCAGCAAAGTTGCATACTTCTGTGAATTTCATCGCAGTTTAGGTGCATTGAATCAAAAGGCTTATTTAAGCTTCTCAAAAGATTTAAAATTTCTTAATTAATTAGTTAGTTTTTATACTTTTTCAAAAGACATCCATACGAAATGAAGTTAACTGGAAAAAATGAAGCACTTGTTTTAAAGGCAACTTAAGTTTGTTCTATTGGGAATAATTTTTATTTTTATTTTAATTGTTATTGTTGTTGTTATTACCATTAAGCTTATGAACAGATGAACTAAAATTCTTAAACTTAAATTTGTTTATTTAATTAACTAAAAACAAACAAAGTTATGCAATAGTTTTGGTACTGTTTTGTATGTAAACTGCACAGCTGAGAAAAGAAACTTTTTTGAAGACACAGTAGCTGGGCTGAGGACGATCGACAATGTGAATGGAGTCGCTTTATGCTGCTCCGCTTCATTCGTTCAAATCTGCTGGCTGTGTTAGTACTCAGATTCAGTTTTAGTGAAGATTTTGGTTGACATGGGTCTTCCGTTGCTTTATTACTGTTGGTAAGAACCATATTTTTTACATGGCTTTATTTGTTTTTGGTAGTGGTGACTTCGGCAGATATTATTCTCAGATGCGTTAGCCTTGCCGCTTGCAAAGTTTTGTCATATCACTGATCAGAGAATTATTTACAGTGTGCTTATATTATTTTGTTGGCTATTTCTTATGCTTATTTTTAAAAAAAATTTAATTTTTTTTGATTGTTAATATGCAGGAATTATGTCATTGAAACCTAACGGCTACACCTTAATATGAATAAACGAGGGGCCTTTCAGGATATGGCTAAATGCACGTTAATTAGAAGTATTTTGACTAGAAGTTTACATCTACCACTCCTCGAAACAGCAACTGAAGTAAGAACAAAATTTGAAGCATATATTGATTTTTAAAGGCTTGTGTTTCGGCACAAATTGGTCTGCATGTAGAGTAATAGTTATTCTTTTATAGATTTTTTTTCGCCATATTTATGCATTTTCTGTCACTCTTACGTGAAAGAGGCATCAAGTTTATTTAAAAAACTTGCATTTTTTATTTTTTTCAATACCCCGCTGCCAGTCTAGGTGGGGGGCAGTGGTCACAAGTTCCTCGCGGACCGTCTTTACCTGGTTCTCCAGCTTCTCCCGGTGCTCCTGGTTCTCCAGGTCTTCCCGGTTCTCCTTTGGTTCCGTCATCTCCTGGCTGTCCAGGTTGCCCATTTGAACCAGCTTAAAAGTTAATGCTGATTGAATTATTCTAAGAAACATCTTAAGAGAAAGTAATTTGGAGATTTAGTAGCTTACGGAGTCCTAAGGGGCCTCTGGCTCCAGGCGGCCCGTTTTTCCCTGGTGGTCCTGGCGGTCCTGGTGGACCTTCGCCGGCGTCTTTGACTTGCCCTCGCTGTCCAGGTGGTCCTTTAGGTCCTTTTCTTCCTGGTCTTCCAGGTGGTCCTTTTGGTCCTTGTAGTCCTTGTCTACCAGATATGCCTTTTGCACCTGGTGAACCTCTGCTACCAGGAGGTCCTGGGGGTCCTAGATGGCCTTTAGGACCTTGGGCTCCTGGTGGAGCTTCGCACGGACATTGTTCGGGGAACCTTTTGTAGGCCTAAAATTGCGTATTTTTAGTTTTCGATCTCGATGCTAGTTTTATTCGCGAATTTTCCTATCAAGTGTCTTTATAAACCTACGTCAGGGGGCATTGGTGCTTGTTGTCCTGGCTCTCCTATGTCACCAAGACGACCGGGCATTCCTGGAACTCCGTCTGTTCCTGGCTCTCCAGGTGGTCCTGGAGGTCCTCTTTGGCAGGTGCAACATTTGCTTTTTTGGGTCGGTTGGCTTTCTGCTACAGAACTGTCTATACTTTTGACTGATTCGCCTATGACTGGTGCATCACGAGTCAGGCGAGGTGGTAGCGGTTTTTCAAATCGTGAGTGCAGCTCAAGGAGCTCTTTCCGAGTTGCTCGAGTTTTTAACTGAAAATTGTGCCATGTTTGCCCAAAAAGTGCGAGATAGGTTTTTTTATTTCAGCTTTAATATGGAAGAATTATCACATATTTTAATTGGCAAATTTCTGTCGATAACGATTTGTTTCTAACAGATGGAAAAATCTTTTGATTATGCAAATTAGAGATAGCAGTGTAGCGTAAAGAGGTGATATCGATGACCGACAGATTTGAAAGTTTTCATTTTAAATTTTTTACAAGTTTAATACTGGAGTTCTTACCCTGCACAGTTCAATATCTGACTGGATATTACTTTCAAAGGACTGAATATAACCGAAGATTAAAGGATAAACAACAGTGCATGTGGTCAGAGCACCAGTTGCGAGTACTGTCGCCACAAATGCTGATGTACGCAATGAGCGAATCCTTAAAGCTTCCTTGTCCATTCGTCGGACTTCCTAGGAAGCAACGTTAAAATTAGAATTATTACAGCGAACAATGTATGAATATGAATAACGTTTACAAATTTTACACATACTAAATATTGAGTAACTGAATGAGATTCGAAGCAGTAGTTCACTCATGATAAATGTAGCTGTAAAAGAACATTCTTTTTATAGTCGCAACAATTATTTGTGGCTGTAGTTAGTGCTTTTGCTCGTAGTCGGTATAGGGCGAGTAAGAAGGAAAAGTTAATGGGCAATTTTGGAAATTAAAAGTAACGAATTGTATATTGACAGTTTTTATAACATCAATGACTAGTTGAATGGTTAAAGCTGGCTGATACATTGTTTTCAAAAGCACCAAGTAATGAGTTGTCAGCGACACGAATGAAATTTGTAAGCAGCATTTTATAGACAGCAAATAATGTTCACAAATAGATTTGTACTTTTAACTGTACAGTACAGTTTTTGTACAAATTCAGAAATGATTTTTAAATAAGAAGAAATTTTGTTCAATTTTCAAAACATCAAAGTATTGGTTATTCTCTTGAGCAACTGATTCTTGTTTTTTTTATTTTTTTCTAAAATGGTAAACATAAAATTAAAATTTTTTTTTCTTTGCAAAAGAGTGATACAGCATTGACCGTCTCAGGATGAATTGCTGCTGATGGTTATTGAAAGGTGTGAAAAGTCAAAGCTGGTAAGGTAGCTGAGCAGTAACAGTAAAGATTTAGCATTGTATATTTACAGCAATGTTTGTTTGTTTACTGAAACTGTTGTTACGGTATTCTGTCTGCGGTAACGCATCTGCATTCATTAGTTGGTGTGTTTGGTTGTTTGGACGGGGCTTGAAAAACCTGTTTTGTTTTGTTTTTTTTTTTTTTTTCGACTTAGGGGACAGGAAATATCACAAGGAGAAACTATGTAATAACGATTGAACACTAAAAAAAACTATATTTCTCAGACACTCTTCTTTCCTTTTCTTGTCGCTTTACAAACTATTCATCGTTCAGATAGCTAACAATCATTAATTTACGCTATGTTTCAATTATTTGATCAAAACAAAAATACAATTTACCAGTTAGCGTATAAGCCATATAACCTGAAATTGTAATATTTTGCACAGGAAAACGAAAACGATGTACAAATTAAAAAATGTTCAATTAATTTTTTTGTTCGTCGAACTAAATTTCACAGAGAAAATATTCCACCTTAAAAAAAGCTTCTTTTTTGCTAACCGATAACAGCACAATATTTTTATACTTTAGCAGAAAAAAAAAAAAACAAATTTGATAGTGGTATAAAAGCTGCTTCTATTGCCAACAAAAGTGGTATGTAATATATATTTTTGCAAAGAACAAATTACAGTTTGAGAAAAAAAGAATCAGAAAATTTTACTGTTCAAAAGAACTAAATTTTAATTCAATTCTTTGCTTTTTAGTTGATTAATTAAAAAATCTAAGTTTTTTCTCTTTTTTTTTTT